AGCGCGGCGGCGCTCCCACCGAGGGTTCGGATCCCATATACAGACCGGTCCGCTCACTGGTTGAGCGCAGTGCGGGCGTGACACCGAGGGTTGCGATCCCATTACTGGTCACGAAAAAAGGCAAAAAGGAAAAAAAAAAAGCAAGGTGTTAGCTTGTAAGAATACTGGTATGCTGGGTTATTCTCTCAAATGAGTACTTTTTTCTCCAGGCATAGTTAGTTAATCTCTGGTATGGTTATTGATGATTATTGATAACATTAACGTTATTTTTTGGGGGGCAGAATTGTGTTTTGCTGTTTAGTTACAGTATGCCCCTTTTCTCCTCATGTTGTAGATTCGACGGAGGCGCCTTGCACGACTTGCTGGAGGACAGACCTCCCAGCCCACCACCCCGCTCACCTCCCCCCAGAGGGAGAACCCTCCTGGGCCTCCTATAGCCGCATCAGCCCCTGGCCCCTCCCAGAGTCTTGGTCTCAATGTCCACAACATGACCCCAGCTACCTCCCCAATAGGTGCATCAGGTAAGCCTTAGCTTTATACCTTTTAGCTTTCTATTAAGCTGCTATTTCCACAACAGTTTGAAACGAACTGAACGTCAGCTTTTTAAAATCCTGCAAGCAGTAGTTTAAAGATAAAGATCACTGCAGTGTGTTTTGTTGTTGTCTATTCATTTTGATAATAATTTGTTAACACTAATTTTCTTTCTATAACTTTTATCTTTTTTTTCAAACAGGCTCAGGTCTTATCTCTGATGGCAAGGTGATAAAGACTGAATTTGGTTCTGCTGATATTATGAATTTGGTTCGTGCTTTTCTTTTAAGATAAAATAATATGAAAATGCAAGATTGATATAATGGTCAAATGACAAGCCTCTAATTACGGATTTTCTTGTCTTCACTCTACATTGGCACAGAACTTTTTCTCTAAATTTTCAGGGCATAAAACTTCACCTGATGTGATATTTTATAACTGTCTCAATGACATCTATTTAACTATGGTAAAGGTTTGTTTTTAATAATAAATAAGCTCCTGGTTGATATCCAGGACTATCTTTGTTGGGGAATGATGATGTTGACTTATACTGTATATTTGAAATATTTTTTTTCTAAGTGAACCTTTCTGTCAATGCAATAATATTGTCATTATAATAATTTTTATAATTATTATTTTATAATTACTTAAGACTCTAGTTATGAAAAAGTAGGTGCCAAGAGACCTACATTTATCATTATATCTAATAATTTCATATATGATTGTTAATTCTGTAGTTGTGTTTTTGGCGGCTGGCTGGTATGGGGAATTCAAACCCTTGATCTTGGTGTTACTAGCGCCATGCTCTAACCATGTGAGCTAACCAGCCAGCTCTAGTTCCATAGTTATTTAATGAACTCTCCCTTAGTCAGCCTTCCAAATAATCTGTCTGCTTGACCTAGGATTATTTACCAATTAAAAGTATATGCAGAGTTTTTGTTACTGTAACTTGTTAGGCATCAATGTAGACTCCTCCCCATTTCTATATAATTGTTTTTCCATAATTCTGTTAATTATAAGAAAGATTCCTGCCATAATATCAGTTAGTAATAAAAAATACCTTTGCCTGAAATGTCTCCTCTGTACGTCTTTGAGAAGCTGTGATGGTCTTTTGGTAAGGTTGAAGGGTTCAGAATTCCCAGTGGCGATTTTATTTTTAACATGGAAATGGTGCTAATGACAGTGTTGTTTGTCCCACCATGATCAGGCCACACCTGGAATCTTGGAATTTGTCCAGGGGAGAGCTTCTTACTTGCTTGGTTAAACCACGATTCTGATTAAATTCCATTCCCTACTTACTCTCTGTCTCATGCAATGAAACAAGGCTAGAGGAAAACTCAGAACCATGCTATCTGTCTCATTTCAAATTCGTGATCACAAACTCAAGTGGACCCTTAATACTGGCAGGCAATTATACCATATTTCCCACATCACTCTCCCACTCGGCTAGTGTATTTCACACCTTCTCCTCCAGTGTGCAGCATCTCATTTTCTATGCATACTCTTTCAGCTGATGGCCTGGCTTCCTATTTCATTGGGAAAACAGATGGAGGCAGAAGGGAACCTCTGTAAGCTCCCGTCAGTACATCTACTACCTGTCTGTTATGCATACCTAGTTCTTGTTATGCATGAACTGTCGCCATTCCTGTTGAAGACTTCACCCCACATCCCATCTCCTCCCACCTACTCAGAGCCATCACTGCTGGAGAGCAGTTCCCTTCTACCACTTCTTCCGATATTCCAAGTAGTTTTTTTTTAAAAACAGCCTATATACATGCTATTACTTCTCATTATGGGAATGAAAAAAAGGAACTCTCTTGATCTCATTTCCCCTGCCAGCTTCCACCCCACATCTCTGCACCACTTCACAGTGAAACTTCTGGAATGACTTGCCTATCCTCTGTCTCCTTCTTCTGTTCTTGCACCCTCTGCTGACTCAACTCCAGTCAGGTGAGGCCTCGAGTAGTCTGCTCTGAGTCACCATCTGGTCTGACCTGTCAGGCTCAGTTGACGTGGCTTTCACCCTTTTCTCCTTGAAACACTTTTTTCTTTTGGCTTCCAGTACACCACGCTCTCCTGGTTTTCATCCTATCTCTGTTTCTTCTTATTTCTTTGTATGGTTCCTTTTCATTTCCCTGATTTCTAAATGTTAGGATGTCAGGGCTCAGTATTTAACCTCTGATCTTCTCTATCTATGTTGATTCTCATTGATTTCACCTGGTTTCCTGGCTTTAATTACTATCTCTAATCTGATGATTCCTACGTTTATATATCCAGCTCAGACCTACTCCTTGAACCTTACTCATACATCCAGCCACCTACTTGACATCTCTACTTGGTTGTGTAATAAGCATCTCACAGTTAACATATCCAGAATCAGGCTTTGATATTTCCTCACGTCTTATCTTTTCCCAGGACCCTATCTCAATAAAAGACAACTCATTTTTTTCTAGTTGCTTAAGCCTAAATCATTATCTCTTCTCTTTATCTCATATTCTAGATCGAGAGTTGACAAACTTACTGTAAAGGGCCAGATAATGTGTTTTTGGCCATAAGGTATTTATCTCTGCCTCTGTAGCACAAAAGCAGCCATAGACAGTATGTAAATGAACAAGCATGACTGTGTTCCAATAAAACTTCATTTACGGAAACAGACCGTAGGCCTGATTTGGCCTGTGTTCTGGATCTTGCTGACCCCTGCTCTAGCTCTGTTAAAAAACTAGATCCAGATCAGATTCTTACCACGTCATCTCTTATCGTCATCTCCACGGCTACTACCCAGGTCCAATGCACCAGCATCTCTCTTGCCTGGTTTACTGGAGCAGCCTCCTAACTGGTTTCTCCTCCCCGCCTTGCTTCACTAATGTCTGTTCTCATTGTAGAGCCAGAGGGGCCCCACTAAACCATAAGTTCAATGTTGTATCACAGCAGGTTTATTATATTATCACAAACTAATAGGAAAACTTGGGCAACTCTTTAAATGGTTTTTGCCAGTACACCTCTGTGCTATGAAGTCTTGATTATGTTTCTCACATAATCACCATTATTTATAATCACAAACAGGTGTTTATTATTAGCCATGCTTTGGCAAGTTGGATAAACAAGTTTTTGTGATTTCTTAAATAAACAAGTTTAAAAAAAAAACACCAGAAAACAAAACCCCTCCTAAGACAGGTCATGTCATTTCTCTGTGCAGAACCCTCAGTTGGATCCCTTCCTTACTCAGAGTGAAAGTCAAAGTCCCCACGTGACCCAGGGCTGCGTGTGATGTAGCCCTGTTATGTCCCTGACCTCTGTCTCTCACTACTCTTCTCCTCGCTCCCTTTGCTCCAGGCATACTGGCTTCTGTGCTGTTCCTGGAACATTCCACACATAATCTTAGTTTGGGCATTTGCATTTGCTGTTTCTGTGCCTAGAATGCTCAGGCCCTAGCAATCCACTTCGCTTTTATACTCAACACTTCAGGTGTTTATTCAAGTGTCACTTTCTCAATTAGACCTTCTTTGGCCACCCTGTTTGTAATTGCAAACTCTGCCTGACACAGGTACCTTTTCTTCCAGCTTTTATCACTGGCTGACATAGCATGTGTATTACTTGTATATCCCATTTTATCTGCCTCACCTACTACAGTGTAATCTTGATGGGGGCAGGGACTTGTGTCCATTTTGTTTGCTGCTATGTCACCAGTGCCTTCAACGGTGCCTGGTACAAGGTAAGCATCTAATAAAAATGTGTTGAATTAATAAAATAATCACAAGAGAAAAAGGCCAAAACAATATAGGCATGTGTAGCTTAAAGGTATTTCAAGAAAATAGGATAGCAGCACATTAAAAAATGTGAAAAGTTGCCACAAGGAAGATGATGGCTCGTGCTTGTTTTCTGTGGTCCTATCAGTTAGACTTAGGGCCAGTGGGTAGATTTATTACCCACTGAATGTGAAGGAGAGACTTTTGTTGCAGAACAAGAAGTGCTTTCTGATAGAGACAAATACTGGGTGGGCTGTCACCCATGGTGAGGAGTGACTTGGCTGTCACTTGGCAGCCTGCTTAGTTGGGGTGCTTTCAGTTGTAAGGAACTAAAGCAAGGACTGGGAAGCTGTAGGTGGTCCTACAAGTTGCTTCTCCCATCTGCAGTCCCAGCCTCTTGCAGGAATTCTGCTGCTGTGTTAGTATTTTGTCTAACAAGTCTGGAGGCCAGAAGTCCTAAGTCAAGGTGTCAGCAAGGCTGTGCTCCCTCTGGAGGCTACCAGAAAGAATCCTTGTTGCCTCTTCCATCTTCTGGTGGTTGCTGGCAGTCCTGAGCATTTCTTGGTTTGTGGCTGCATAATCCAGTCTCTGCCTTCATCTTCCCACATCTTTCTTCCCTGTGTGTGTGTCTGTGTCCAAATTTCCCTCCTCCTGTAAGGACACTAGTCATTGGATTAGAGCCTACCTTACTTGATCCGGTATATAACCTCATCTTAACTTGCTTACGTCTGCAAAGACCCTATTCCGAATAGGGATATTATTTATTTACTTGTTGTTTGTTTTTATCTCTGTCCCCTCCTCCCTTTGAACATAAGGTTAGGACGGGGACCTTGTCAGTGTTGGTCATCCCCTTACCCCAGCACCATGCTTAGCACATGGTAGACACTCTAAATGCCAGTAGTTAATTGAATAAATAAATGAAAGAAATATTTTTTGTTGGAAGTGTTAGAAACAAAATAAGTTCCATTTAAAGAACATTGACTAACATTACTCTTTTCATCATGACCAGCAGGTCTGTCTTGTTTTTTCCTGGTGCTCTGAACAGAATTTTTAAAACCCCTAAACTTATTCATTTTCTTCTAAAATTAAAAAAAAAGCGAGAAATTGGTAAAAGGTCACAAAAAATGTTTATATTGTGTAATGTTGAATATACTAATTATAAATCACATATTGCACACAGGTATTGATAGTGCTGTACCCCATAGATATGTACAATCAGTTATGTTTCAATAAAAAAAAGATTA